GGACCGCCTTTGACAAAATTTCTCAAAAATGGGTAGAAATTGTCAATTTCAAAATTCAGCAGTGACCCGGTGCTCCCAAAACAACCAAAAATGCAAAACTCTCCCCTTTTCCAAAGCTGGGTAGAAAGCGTCAATTTGCATAAACTGCAGGGGCTTGAAATGCATTTTCTTCAATTTTCAGCAAAATCAGTCCTTTTTCGAAAATGGGTATGAACCGCCAAATGTTCGAAACCTCGGAGACTATTTTCGACAATTCTGCCCTTCTTGCTCCAAACATACGAAGAGTTTTATAAACTGTCAATCTTTCGTAAGGTCAGGGGTAATTTTCAAAAATTCTGCTTTTTCTTTACAAAACTACCGAAGTTTTGTCCTGTTCATACGGAAGTTTGGAAAAGGTGTTAAACTGTCGAAAGGTTAGGGGCCATTTTCGTAACTTTGGGTTTCTTTTTCAAACACACGAAATTTCAATCCTTTCAAACGTATGAAAAAATTTTCTCTCTCCTCTTCGTACGAAACTTTTTCTCTCTCCCTTTCGTACGAAATTTCATTAGCCCATTTTCTCTCTCCTCTTCGTTAGATTCAACCATAGCACCAAATTAACGAAAATTTTTCCCACTGATTAACGAAATCGAAGGCACACGAAGCCTCTGAATCAAGTCTTAATCATTCAATTCCTCACTGAATCAAAAATTCGTTCTTACAGTTCTTCCCAAACCAAAAACTTCCGTTCATTTTATCAAGTTTTCGTCAACGATTCCTTTGACTGTCGACATAGCCATTCTTCGAAAATTGGACTTCCAAAATCATCAATCCATTCGAATTTCATTCAAGAATCGTCATCAAACCCAACTAACGAATCAACGAATCCAAGTCCTAAGATCACCTCTAAATCTTCGTTATTATGTCACAGTGTCAAAATTCCTTCTTTTGCTAAACCCAATCGACTATTCAAATTTCGTTTCCAGTTACCCTTCGTACATCAACAATCAAAATCATCTTCTCATCACTGATCAACCCATCCTATTTCGTTTCCAAATCAACGAATCCAAACACAATGACCATAAAAAAAACCATCCTTGACCACCGAAAGTTCTGATTTTGACTTTTCGCTTAACTTTCACTTCATCAGTCGAAAAAAAAATCAACGTGACTTCATCAAACAATTACATCACAATGTTAAATTTTCTTTCGAATCGATTTCAAAGGAATTTCCAAATCGATAACACGACTCACTTTCGATTCAAAATCACATTTCAGTGATGAACCTTCAATTTTGACTTTTTGGTTGACCCCGACGAACACCAAAGCTATCGATCTTTAATCTATTTTTGGATCAAACACCCATTTTTATCATAAATCGTAACATTCTCCAACTGTTCTTCATCGTGTTCTTGACCAATTTTTCGATTTCTCAAATTTTAGCTTGACCAAAATCGATTTCATCATATGCCAATCATATGAAATCAAATCTCAAAACCAATCGATCGATTAAAATCGATAAAACTAAATCCGAACTTAAGAACGATGAAAGTGATCAACCAAAATCGGTAATGAACAATGAAACTCAAAAACTCATTGATTGAACCGAGAGTCAAGAACATCAGTTGCGTACAACCCATCTATGCACGAAATTAAGAGTCATGAAACAACGAATCATTTATCTGATTGAAGTAGACTTTTGGACTTTTGTTTTAAAGAAATTGGATCGAAAATCTGGATAAAAAATTATTTCATGAACAGTATATGATCCACTTTTTTTGGGCTCAATTATTCGAATAATGAACAGTGACAAATTCAACAATTGGGCTCAATCATGATTGATGAACAGTAACCGACTCAAGATTTTGGGCTTAAAATACGTGAATAGTAACATAATTGATTTTTGATTTTGTTTGGGCTTGATCTAAACAAAAAATTTATTGGATCATCAATGGGGTTTTTCAAGAAAAATTTTGATCCAATGAGTCAAACGATCACAAATAAAAAACACAACGCACGAATTCAATGAAATTAAGAGAGATCATAGAGAGAGACTCACCAAACTTGCTTCAATTGTGACAAAAGTTGCCAAACCGAGAATCGTTCTTCAAAAATCACGTTGATCTTGAAAACCCGCTCTGATACCAATTGTAGTGATGATAAGAACATGGTTTGGCATGCGGAATTAAAGATTGCACAATGAACATGGTGATTTGGGTGTTCAAGAGATGTATTGATTATGTATTGTGTTACAAAAAGGGATCTAGATCTAGTCTACATAAATAACACACACACACTCAACTTTTACACCTCTCAAGCATACCTCTACAAGTGGACTAAACCCACCTGATATAGAGGTGTTTACATGTCTCTCTCTCACTCTCTATCTCATGCCACAAGGCTAATGCACCACATGCAAGTGGGTTTACAAAAGTCAAACATTACAAAGTCATTCATGGAAAACTTTATACCCCAACAATATTGTTATTCAATTTCCCTAAAACCAACGGTATGTATTTATAAAAAGTGTGAATGGTTTATCATGGACATCTTAAAGGTACTGAATTATTCTAATTTTGAGTGTTTGAGGACTATCATATTTGTTCAAGAATACAAATGTATCTAAAACATTGTTAAGTACATAAGAACGTATTTATTTATTTAGTGAAAGATTCTATGGAGGAACGTAATATAATATATTGGGGGAAAGAAATCATCCAATGTATAAAAAAATGATTCATAGTTGACATTCCCTACTCTTAATAATGATGTAGGAAGTGACTTATGCTCGAACTTCTCAAGGGTACATGGGAAGATTATTTTTTAAGACTCTTGATGTACTCTTACAACTTAGAGAAAGCGGATCGGGTATTATGGCCCACATTCAGATATATGAAGATGCACATTGCTATTATTTGTCAACATTGGTTGTGTAGTATTCTTAATTATGATCATGACACTCAAGTGACTTTTTTCTTATAAAAATAATTGTAATTACTACAATTTGTTGATATGTACATTCAAGAACCATTCATGACCATTGAGCATAATAGACGATGTCCACTTAGGGAAGTACTTAGGCACCATTGTTCTTGTTATTGATTAAAACAACCAAAACTTACATTAGTCTTTGAAGTGGGCAAGAATGAGAGCATGAAGACTTAAACATGTTTTTAAGGAAGGTGCAAGTATGCATCACTGGAATTGAATTTTATTTTATCATAATTCCTAATAAGGGTACTTTCATTGACCTCGCCATTAAAATGTTATTCCTATATGTGTATAGTAGCCTTTGTTGGGACAGCTGCCAATGAGCTTACGATTGATGTCAGCAAAAACTAAAACCAAATATGAGTTGTTTTGGAACACATGAAAAAGATATGGTATCAAACTTCGAAGAACATATTGTGATGTTATATTGTAGTGTACCTTAAGTGTGTAAAAGCTTGAAGAAAGTGGATACAAAAGTGCGCAGTTGAGCACTTTCCTAGTTTGCGTTATAATATAATGACTTCCAATAATGTCGAATTCATGAATGTATTAATCAAACATACACAAAAATATCTGATTGTTGTGTTTGTTGATTTTAAAGCACATTACAATAGTTGTATTATAAATATCGGCAAGACCGAAGGCAAATATATATTCAAATACATATGAACTCTTTGGTTTACTTATGTTAATAAAAATGATTTTGTCAACTATTGAAGGACATCTCACCCCTTGCATGTACCAAAAATTAAAGAGAATAGATATGCATTCTTCAATGTGGATATGTTTCCTTATCATGGACCACTTATTTAGAGTACATGAACATCATAAAAAAAAGTGTTGTTGATCTAAATCTAAATGCGTACATATAGAAAAGTGGAAATTTCTATTAACTTGTTGCTACATGGTAACAATTTTGTTTATGGTTAACTTATTCAGTGTCGAAAGGATTGTATAGTCATGCACTCATGCTTTACTACAAAAATATATTGATTAACATTGTTTTCTAAAAGGGAAATCTCCAGAAAAGTAGTAAAATTTTACCATAATTTATGAAAAAGTCCCAAACTAAAATTTGTTTACGAAAAGCATGAATTACCGGTAAAAATGACGATTTGACCCCTTTTTTCCGGTTTACCGGTTTTATTACTTACATGTTTCACTAAAGTCTCATTATTTTACCCTAATTTGCGAATAAATCCCAAAATAAAATTTACTGATGATTTGACCATTTTCTTCATGTAACACACATTTTATCGGTTTCATTGCTGACTTAGACACCTAGTCATTAAATTAGCTCATAAGATGAATACGATGCGTTATATAATGTCACATTTACTGTAAAATTTGATATTCATCTCATCGGCTCGTTTATGACTATGTATCTACGTCAGCAATGAAACAAATAAAATGTGTGTTTCCAAGAAAAAAATGGCAGAAAATGAGTTGATGTTTGATGAGATGGATATATTGGGTTACATAAGATTAGATAGACAATTTGATATTTCTTATAACGTAAAATATAACGCAGTTGTTGTTAGTTTATATAATTATTATAGTCTTCGTTGGATGCATTTTATATTCCAAAAAAATATACAATACATCATGATATCAAGTTTTATGCTAAACATAGCATTATATAACTCAACATATCCATCTCATCATCTCATTTAATGACTAGGCGTCTGGGTCAGCAACAAAACCGGTAAAATGTATGTTACATAGAGCAAAGGGTCAAATCATCAGTAAATTTTATTTTGGAACTTATTCGCAAATTAGGATAAAATAATGGGACTTTAATGAAACAGGTAAGTAATAAAACCGGTAAACCGGAAAAAAGTGGTCAAATCGCCAATTTTACTGGTAATTCATGTTTTTTCGTAAACAAAATTTAGTTTGGAACTTTTTCGTAAATTAGGGTAAAATTTTAGGACTTTTCTAGAGATTTCCCTTTCTAAAATGTGCAAGTATTTCATGCATAGAGTACAACCACTTGATGCAATACAAAACGAGCTGCACGAGCTTTTCATGTTTTCACTACTACAAAAGGCAGCAACTACTTTTCATCTACAACAAATTTTGAGTTAAGTTCGTATTGTGTTTTGTGCTACTTAGAGTTGTATCATATGTTGGTTAACTTATACTATTTTTGACTCTTGAGAGCTTTTGCATAGAAGGCCCAACTTGGGTGTGTTTGATCGATAGCAGATTGGCCAAAAGGATGTTGCTCTACATACGTCTTTACATCTTCAGTGTCTGCCAACCCTTCAAGATACTTTCGAAGATCACCATTGGGACCTTAAAAAAACAAGGATGATAAGGCCATTGAATAGCAATATACTTTTTAATTTGTCTCATTTAATTGGGTTAGTTAGCTAAAAATAAATTGACTTCGGTAATTAAAAAAAAAAGCAAATATTAAATCATTCTTAAAAGTATATTTTAATTAAAAGTAAACAAAATACAACAGTAATCTGTCAGAGTATTTAGTTGGATTGGAATTCAATCATAACTTTTAAATAATGTTGAATATTCACTTATATATAATAATATTTGAATAAATTACATTTTTACTCCTTGATTATAGTTTATTTTTGCAACTTTGGTCCTTATTTGAGTTTTTTTAACGTTTTTTATCCATGTTCCAAGTGAAATGACTACATTTTTTCATATTTTGGTACAAAAATATCATCATATTACTTGGAACAAGGACCAAAATTGAAAGAGACAACTTTTTCAGGCCATAACTGCAAAATACAACAAATTGTCAAAGGAATTGTAAATTGTGAGGCGTTCTTTTGCAATTTTGATCCTTATTTGAGGTTTACATAACATTTTAGGTCCATGCTCCAAGTAAATTGACTACTTTTCTTCCTAAGTATAGCTGATTTTCGGAAATTTGGTCCCAAAAATATAGTCATATTACTTGGAAAGGGGACCAAAAACGTTATAAAACATCAAACAAAGGACCAAAACTAGAAGAAAACATTTTGGGACCAAAATTGCAAAAAACGGATATACTCAAGGACAAAACATGGAAATTGGACGAATCTGGCAGAGAATTAAATTCCATCCATTTAGCAAACAAAGAAGCGGCGGAATGGAATCACGAATTCCAATTCCGCCCTAATCCACAAACCAAACACAGCATAACATATCATACCTAGAAAGTCATCATTCCTATCCTTGTAGCTGTAAGATAGAGGAAAGATTGCAGTATTCTTCTGCAAGATAAGGAATCTTAACAAAATCAGTAATTGGTAAATAAATTAAACTATGAGTAAAAAAAAGGTGATTAATAATCTTACAGGATTCAATAATGCTTTATATGGAGAATCATCCAACAGCAATGTATTTGATTCATGAAAAGTTCCTTCCACCCATTTCAGCCAAATCTTTCTCAAATCCTTGAAAACCATTGGCTTGTATTTATCTTCAAGAGTTTTCATCCCTGTATTCGTGCAAAATGAATTATCCTGAAATTTTCCACTTAAAAGAATATTACTAAAAAGTTGAAATTAGCGTATATATATTTAATAAATATAACTAAAAAGTAAAAACACTCACCCAAATAAAAAGGAGATTCTTCTTTAAATCTCCTAACAAAAAGTCAACCACTGGGTACAAAACTTGCTTTGTTCTTGAAGACCAGATGCCAACATTAAATCTCTCAAAACAAAACCGCAAAAAACCATCCAAATAGGGTCTTTTGAATACTGCATCAAAATGAAGCTTTGTAAAAAAAAAAACAATTCATGGTTATATGATTATACATAATAAAAAATAAAAAATGTGTGAAACTTTTAATTTTTTGATTGGAAAGAATAAAGTATAATTGGTTAAACCACAAACTTGACTAAAATGTAATCGGTTTCCTGTAATTTCTCTAAACTCAATAAATTAAATTACAAAAAACCGTTATATTTTTCAGCAGTTTTGCAGTTTAATAACAAATACTTCATCTTTTCCAATCAAAGTACCAGTCTGGCACATTTTTTTTCAAAAACAACCATTTTGACATGTTACATCAGGTTTCACTAGATAAAACTTCCAAATTAACCGTTTTGACATGTATATAAGATTATAAGGTCAAAATGGTTAATTTGGAAAATTATATGAATCTTTCATGGTTTTTCTGTAATTTCCCCTTTAAATAAAATTAACTTAAATAGAAGAATGGAAACCAAATCATACTTGCTCGTTTTGGAGTATAATAATCTGCTTGCACATCTTGTGGGCGAGGTGACACAATATCTGCAAGCAATCCATTTATATCAAAAATCAGAAGCTTTTTCCCTGGTTTTGTAGTTCCAGATACCTTCTCTTTTCCTGTTTGTATTACACTTTCCATCTTTACCCTTTTTGCACCCATACTTGCATAAAAAACTTCATGTTTCTTTCCTTCTTGTTTATCTTTATTTTGTCCTCTTTCAGTTGATCTATGAATCTTTTGCTCTATTACTCTACCATTCTTATAACTTTTTGTAGTTTTAATTAAACCCTTGTTTGCATTGTTAACTTTTGTGTGATTTTCTCCTTTTGACACCATTTTTGCATCAGTAATTGCAGTTTTAGTTGAATCTTTCTCTACATTTACCATGTCATTTGAGGCTTCTTGATTCTTCTTTTTTTTCCTGCTCTTTTTCTTTTTTGGCACTGTATTATCTGTTGCAGTTGTTCCTGAAACCATTTCAACATTGACAACTTTTGTGTCCACTTCTCCTTTTGACACCATTTTTACATCATCAGTTGGAGTTTTACTCAAGTCTTTCTCTACAGTTACCATGTCATCTGAGCCTTGATTCTTCTTTCTCTTTTTTGACATTCTATTATCTGTTGCAGTTGTATCTGAAACCATTTCACCATTGGTTACCATGTCGTCTGAGGCTTGATTCTTTTTCTTTTTTTTCTTCCTCTTTTTCTTTTTTGGCATTGTATTATCTGTTGGAGTTGTACCTGAACCCATTTCACCATTTGCAACTTTTGTTTCATCTTCTCCTTTTGACACTGTCTTTGCATCAGGGGTTGCAGTTTTATCTGAGATCATCTTGTTACTAGATGTTTCCATATGATCTTCTCCTTTTGACACCATTTTCTTCACATCATCAGTTGCAGTTTTACTTGAATCTTTCTCTACAGTTACCATGTCATTTGAGGCTTGATTCTTCTTTTTTCTCGGCCTCTTTCTCTTTTTTGACATTGTATTATCTGTTGCAGTTGTACCTGAACCCATTTCACCATTGACAACTTTTGTGTCCTCTTCTCCTTTTGACACTATCTTTGCATCAGGAGTTGCAATTTTATCTGAGATCATTGTGTTACTAGAAGTTTCCATATGATCTTCTCTTTTTGACCCTGTATTTGCATCACCAGAAATTGGAACTGATGCTGCATGTTTCTGATCAACAGATGCAACGGATGACTGTGAGATGATATAAAAATGAGGAAGTACACGTTTGCTATCAGGATTTTCAGCATTCAACTTGACCTTTTTTTTCTGCTTCCTTTTTTTTGATTTAGTCAGCTTAGCAGAATCATCACCTCCACCATTTTCCATCATTAAACACTCCTGAACAGGAGATGTCATGATTACCTCCATTCTAGCTACACTTCTAATGCCTGAGCTCAATCCAACAGCAAAAGTGATAAATTAAACACTCAATCGAAGAAAAAAAGCAGACTTCAAATTTTAGGTGTTAAGAGAATCACAAGTTTGTAACTCTTCAGAGACAGATTGATAAGAGCATGAGCTTCATCAATGAGAAGTGAAACCAATGGAGCAATGTTCTTATTGAAATCAAACAAAAAAAAACAATTTTGAATTAGGTTTTGCCGACTTAATCAATTGAGTGCAGTAATCACACTTACACCAGTATATCAACTGAATTGAAAATCAGAGAAGGTACAAATGGAACAATGTTCGTATTAAAATTTAACTAGAAGCAATTATGCATTAGTTTTACAGTTTATACCGATCTATCAATGTAACTAATAATCACATAAGTATACCAATTGCTGTGAGAATCATTTGAAGTATCATAAATCGAGCACATTATCACCTTACAGAACATCACATGTAACGACGCTATAAGAAACGATAAACGCTTTCGAAGATTCCTGTTATGGTTTCCGAAGTATTAGAGAGCTGCGTAAGCGTACCTAATGACTATTTCTTCTTCCTCCGGCAACCTTTTTCATCGACGGCGATCTGGAAATGATAGTTTAACCGGAGTTCATGGATACTTCATGACTGCACGACGGCGGAACGTGTAGGGCTTAGACAGCCACTGTTTTAAGAGACAGGAGGTGCTGTTATTCGTTGTTTCAGTTTAGTCCCTCAACAATTTCAATTTGTTCAATTGTTGCCATGAACTTTCAAAGGGATCTGATAAATCCATAAACTTTCAACCCTAAACAAATGGTCCTTCCAAAATAGGGGTCTTGATGATTTGAGCATTTAACGAGCCAAACTTTACATTAGCGATGATTGAAAATAGGGGAAATGACATAAAAGCCCGTAAGTTTTCATAAAAATATCGCTTTACCATTGGACGTGTTTTAGGTCCAGTAGAACCACCGGATGTTTTGTCATTCTTATACTTTTGGTCCCTTGTTACAAAAGTTTGTGTTTTTCAAAATTTAGTCACAATATTTTCCACAGTTTGGTAAGTTTAATCTCTGTCGCCTTCTATTGAAAAAAAAAAATCGATCGGGCGAAGCCTAGGGTTTTTTTACTAGTTATTATTATTGGACATATCTATATCTATGTAACACTTTTAATTGGTTTGTAATTTTAAAATCAAACATTAAATTAATAAAAATTAAAGAAGTATTAAATTTCATATTTTTCTTAATAAAGTAGAGTATATATCCACATATTTCATATTCTATCTCAAATCATTATATTTAAGTCTTTTTTGATTTTGTATTTGCTATCACAAATTTAAACCCCGTTTAGAATCTTTATGATTCTCAAGATTATCCGAACTTTATAAAAATTGGATGGTCTATTATATTAAATATATGTGATGAATGTAGAATGACTTCTTATCTATTTTTATTTAATTTTATATTTGAAATGAATAATTTCATTTGTTATGAAATTAAATAATTACTTTTAATACTTTTAATAAATTTTAATAAAATAGAAAATAATCATAAATTATATTTATTTAGTAACAATTTTTTTGGTTTGGTTGTTAATAGGGTGAAATTTTTGTTTGGTTTGGATTATATAGGTGGAAGAAAGAAATTAGTTTTTAAAGAAAATTTATGTTGGGTTGGGTCAACTAATAGGGATAGTACTAGAGCCGGCAATTTTATACATGGCACGACTGATAGGATACGAATATTATACAAGTTTTCTGTGTATAGGTTTTAAAAATTCATGTTTCGTGTCGACACAAATTCTAAATTTGTGGTTCGTATAAGTCTTACACGTGTTAAACACGAATTTACTTGTTTAAACACGTATAAGACATTAATTAAATATGTGTGACACGCTACACTTATAGATACGAGACATGCGACACATACATACACATATAAACACATATACACACGAATTAAATGCATGTTTTCCAAGCTTAAAAAATATTATTAGACAATATGTGTATTAATTCGTGTAAATCTGGGACTTTGTGTAACATGGTTAAAAGGGTGTCTATTCGTATCGTATCACATGTCACACAAATTAATTACATGACGTGTTCGTTTTTGATACCCAAAACATGTTTTACAATTTGTGTCGTGTTCACGTTTCATAAATTGGTTTCATTTAAATCCGTGTTTGACACGTACACATGACATGGAAACACGAATTGTCATGTCTATATAGAATGGATGAGCATGGTATCGAACTAGTAGTGACCCAAGAATATGGAATACTAAAACGGGTGAAAAAACAATACCAAGTACGGAAGTACCGAACCAAATTAGAGTTTAACGGTACTGATACCGCTACCGAGTACGCTACCGGTTTTTGGTACTATAACTGAACTGAAGGGCAAAAAAGTCAAAATTCTAATGTACCATTTTAGGGGGAAATATGTCCAGTTTTGGGTCTACCTGTTGTTAATAAATTTGTCCAGTTTTAAGGGCAAATCTATCCGGTTTTCGGTACTCCATGTATTCACATGCAATTCCTAGTTGTGAAATAGGGGAAAGCATGCCCAAAAGTTAACCTGCAATGTCTAGTATTCACCAGGAGTTTTGTCAATGACAATTCATTAATATAACACCAAGTTGGGCTTGAACTTCAGGGTAAAATATGTCCAACGGTTAACTAGCGGTTAACAAAAACATATAATTCATTAATACTATTTTTATCACCATTTCTAGGGATTGATAATTGTGAAGCAACATCTTCTGGTTGCGTCTTTCCTCTTCGCATGTTGTGACCTGCAAGTCTAAGCCTACAACTTCGCTTCCCTCATCAACCTTAAAAAGACGGTGGAACCTAGAAACAAGTTTGTGAATAAGGTAACAAAAATAGATGTCAAAAGATGTTTCTTTACATTGACAATTAAAAGTTAATTTCTAGCCTTTTATCCTTTCAAGTTCTAATAGTCAACAAAAACATAGATAAAAAAGGTACATGTTGTGGTTAACTCATATGGTAATAATAAATACAAATAAATTAACAAGATATTATATAGATTAAATCAAACCAAGACAGTGTATTAATTTATGATTTTCTATTAGGGATAAGATTTTGTAATTCTTGTATAGTTATAGATGACTCTCTATCCTTATATTTTAGTCTTTATTGTTATCTTGTACTATAAATATAGTATTCAATATACAACAATATTCAAGGTGATTTCTATAATCCTTATTTGGTATCAAAACAGGTTACGATCCTTTTTCCTTACCTTCTAATCATGAAAACCAACGACTCTTCTTCCTCTTTCGATTCTTATATGTCTCTAGCCACTATCCTTTACATCATCACCGTGAAGCTATCTCCCACAAATTACCTACTTTGGCGAAAGCCAGCTCCTTCCCTTACTTACTTATCAGAAGTTGTTGGGTCGTGTTGATGGTTCGCTTGTTGCTCATACTCAAAGCAAAGAAACTACCGGTGATTCTTCTCCAAATCGTGATTATGCTAAATGTCTTGAAGTCGGTCATCGTGCTTTTGTCATAATTCAGTCTTCCTTAATTGATCCTATGGTTCATAAAAAAACATGATTAAGACTTATTAATGTACATGATTTTGTAATTAAGAGCATATTAGTCATTGGTAGGCTAAATATCTCATCCATAGATCTATTACCAAAATTAGGGACATATTCACGTAAAAGATCTCCATCTCCTTCGATCTTCAAGTCTTATACCAGATCATCATTGATATAGGATCGACATTCATTGATTGATCAATTATCCTCTTGTATCAAATTCGTCGTATTCATGTAATCAAATATCTTCATCTCATTCGATCTTCAAGTCTTTCTACCAAATCATTGTGATTTTGAGATTGACAATCATTGATCGATCAATTATACTCTCCGATCACAATCATAACTATTAAATTTGCGATTTTAATGGTTTGCGAGTTCATCCTCTTCATTCTTTTATATCTGAAGTATTTATCATATTGAGGTTGATTTTCAACAAATACGCTTCATTAAATATCATATAGTAGGGGTGGCAAATCGGACAATCAATTTGTATTTTTGTTAAACACGACACGACATGATGTCATTTTTTTTAACTAACACAAAAATAAACCAACTAAAAAACGACAAACACGACACGACACAACAAAGATAACATAAAATAACAATTAGTTTATTTAATTAATACTTAATCATACATAACATGACAAACACAAAAAACAAATGCTAAATTGTGTCAATTTCGTATCGAATTTTGAACACGAACACGACAAGGCAATGCCTTTTTTACACTTAACACGAACACAACACAAACACAAATTTGAATTTCAATTTTGTCCCAATTTCATTTTGTGTCATGTATTTTTGTCGTGTCGTGTCATGTCATCAATTGTCACCCCTATCATATATCAATATCAACAACTAATCACAAATTTGTGATCGAATTTTAGCTATGTGATCATCTTTTTTCATCATATATAGTTCGGTTTATGAGCTGTAATTAGCAATTTCTACAATTCTTCATCATCAACAATTGTCTATGGAATTTCAAACTTTAATTTGTAACATATATTTTTCATAAACAAGTATTAAATTCATAAAGGATAAGAAATCTACTATATTAAAGTAAAAGGAGAGTTTGATGTGTTTATAAGTATATTGTTATTATTGAAAGACGCGGCACAGCCATGTAAGAAGCACGAAATGGTTAGTTGAAGTCAAGAAAGTCAACAAAAGTCAATGAGATCTTGACGTGACCATGAGGGTAACGTGACGTGTCGACTGGTGTGAGTCATCATATACATGGCGAACGTATAGGGCACGTGACGAGAGGACATGATATGTGACATAGTCTCGGAAGAACATGAGGAGACGACGCGTCCAAAAGGGTTCGCAAAGTGATGTCGCATCAGGAGAATATATATATATATGTTGAAGTGTTTCGGCTAAAATTTTTGGGAAAATGAAGCCAGAAATAATGAGAACGATATAGAGTCAAGAGGGTGAGATAGATGTTGACGATACTACAAAAGTATGTGTTACCAAGCGGGTTGAGGTAGTCTTTCATCATGTAATTATGTTTACGTAGTGTTTTGTGGAGGGTTGTTAGACCTTGAGCGTGTTACGGGATTCGTGATATTATGCTATTGCAAACCAATGATGAGTTTAATAGATGGATTTCACATAGAAATTCTTAATTTTGTTGATAAGGGTTATGAACTTTGGTTTACACCGAGTATATGAATATTAGTCAATGATTTACGAGATTAAACCGTTTGACGGTTACATTATGGGACTAGATGAATCTGGTAACAAATGGTTACCGAGTTTGGTTAGTGGTCAGGTAATTGATCGTTGTGTGATAAATAAAATATTATGATTATTGTGAAATGCTAGGTTTGGGTTTAGAACCTATAAAGTTGTATGTGATTGAGAGTTTTAGTGAACTGATATGGTTGAATGTCATAATAGGTTATTGTTATATGAAACGATGAGCTACTTTAGTTGCATTATAGAGAAGATATGCTATATAGATGAAATAATTAATCTGATTGTATTGGTTGTGAGTGGTGAAGTATTAGTATATCCTTTTGTGGCTACAAGCAACAGAGAATTTACATATTGGTATACTGTTGTGGAATGTGTACAGATG